CAACTTTTTTTGTGTTTAAATACAGATATTCTGTATCTCGATAAATATTAAACCTCATTTTCCCTCTCTCTTTCGCTTTTCCCTCTTTTTTGTCTCTTAGATTAAGGAATCACCTCATGTAGTCCAAAGTAAATCCAAAGGATATTCACGCAATTGCAATAAACCTGATAAGTATAATGCCGCAATGCTTTCTTTTATGAACTGATCGAATATATTATAACATATATTCCAATTTTGGATATATATTATAAATTCATTCTTTCGATACAATTTTTTTTGAAAAATACTTTAGAATACTATACTATTTTCTAGTATATAATTTATTATATATATCTATCTTTATATATATATATTATATAATTTATAATAGTAACGCTATACTATATAATAAGATCATTACTTTGGGAAATCTTCTTATTCCTCTTAAAGTTGTTCTATTGGTATATGTGTTGGAAGCTCAATCCGTGTTGGAAGCTCAATTTTTGGAAGTAAGAACTGTGATCACTTGGATGATCCAATATAATAAGTAATTAGAGTACTATATCTAAAGTTGATATTATTTTTTAAGCCGTGAATAATAAACTAATGCCATTTCATGTTCATATATTGACTCATGTTCTTACATATTATTTCTAGCTAAGTGTTTTAATCTAATTCTCTATTTATAAATGTAAATTATTTTATTTTATGCATTTCTTACCTAATTGAAGTTCATATAATATCTACACTTACTTCTTGACCTACAAATGTGATCTATATTTGTATATTTAACTCAGAACAATTGACACTTGCGTTGTCAGTTGTTTCATATTACTTATACTTTCGCTGACTAAAAGGTTTATGTATTACGGAAATGAATTACTAAATAATTAGCTTTGTTAAGCGTTCTATTTATTAAATATTGTATATATTTGTGAAATGTTATATGCACAAAAAGTGCTAAATATTGTATTAAGAGTTTGGATTCTATTTAGGTTTATAGGTCATATGTTTACTAAATATAATACTGGTGCTATAAGCTAATATGTTATCTCAGTTTATGGGTTCATAAAAAGATGATATAGTCATTGTTGTTTTTTATAGCTGTATGTATCAATTTGAGGTCTGTTGTTGGATAAAACCAATTCCTTGACGTTTCAATGGAATTTAAAATTCTTAATATAGTTGTTCAGTTCCGTTTTCATCCACAAAATACTTAGTCACAGAGATGATAGAATTTAAGTTATATATCTGTCTATTTAATTTTTTAGATGTATTGAAGCAGTTATTTAATACAGGTTTGGTTTATTTAAAAGGTTCGATAGTAGTTTTTAGTACTTAATACTAGTGAGCCGATTTACACTATCATGAACGTAACATGAACATAAACTTGAAAACCGGTTACTTATAGATGAGAGAGGGAAGAGAGTGTGATGATGATAGTGTATAGGCCCAGTAGTTAGATTTTGATAGAAATAAAGTCAACTCCGGTAAAAATAGTTGAAAAATTTTTGGTACATTTATATATAATTTATTACAACTGTTTATTTTTTTCCACTTACAATTAAGTAAAAAGCGTAATATCAGGTTTTTTATGCACTCACCTAAGCATTTATTTAATACCGGGTAAGGTAACAGCTTGAAGTATTTAATTTTATGTAAAATTCGATTAAACCTCATGAACATCAAACTCTGTATACTGCTTATTTTATATAATAATTGAGTAGTTTGTAACATAGAATAGTCAATAATTTTATGTTGACTCGAGACAGGGTCTTTCGTTATAAAATGACTTAAATGGCCTATTTTTAGTATTAGTATTTGTTTTTTTTATTATATATAATTTTTTTTTATTAAATTTTTTTTTATTATTTAACTTTTTTTTTTCTCAGTCTTATAACGATTTTATTGTGCTAATAAGAAACGATCTTTGTGTGAATATTATTATTATTATTAAAGAGTAGACGTGAAAATTGCCCAACAGCCGGTACTGCGGCCAGAAGGGACCTATTGTACCAGTTTCACTATTGATTAAACAAAGTCCCTTAAAGCTTTGTGAATAAAGTCTGGAACTAAATCTAGGGAAGAGTTCTTAATCTGTTTTGGTGACAGAAATTCTTTATGAAACAGGTTTCTTCAGTGCGTTATTAAAGCTGGGCAGTCACAAAGAATGTGCATAGTCGTTTCCTCATCTTCAAGGCATTATCTGCTTTCCGAGTTAGCAGATCATTGTAGTTTATGAAGGTGATATTTCAGACCATAATGACCTGTAATGAAACCCGTTATTAACCTTAAATTACATTTTGAGAATTTAAGAATGTCTTTGTAGGAGTACAGTGCTTTGCTTTGTCTGAGTCCTGGAAAGTTTACCCAGTACTCCAACCGCATATGATTTTCCATTTCCTTGATAATCTGTTTTGGACTGGCCCAGTTTATTCCACAAAAGGGTTGAGGGCCTATAAAAGCAGTTTTTGATGCAGTTCTGGCTAGCTCATCAGCTTTTTCATTTCCCAAAACTCCTCTGTGGCCCGGAACCCAGTAAAGGACCTGTTTTGATTTGAAAGTCCAAGAAAAAAGAGCTTTAAGAGCAGCCTGGCTGTCAGATTAAATAACAAATTTCGAGCCAGAAGATTTTTTGATTAAATTGGATGTGTGAATAAGAAACTGCTCTAAAAACGAATATAGTAAATGTCTAATATAACGCAAACCAAATTTAACGAATGTTCAACCTAATGAAGATCACATCTTCGTAATGAATATTCCATATAAAGATGGCATAATTCTTTATATAAAAATAAAATATAAAATATAAAAAATATTACGAAGGGTGCACTTGAAAGAGGAAATCTCCAAAAATACCCCACAATAACGCTGTCAATCATTATAGGTTTCTATATATTGTTCTCTGATCTGTACACGTTACTTTTGATACTTATTTCCTTTTAAAAGTAATGATTTCGGTACTCATTAATGCGTTCAAATTAAATTATTTAAATTTACTGTTATAATATTTGTTAACTACTGAATTTATAAACAAATTCACACTGTCCAGTGTTAATGTTTTTATTATTATTAAAATTACTAATACTAACTTTGAACTGATAAAAAAGTATGCGTGATTCAGAAATTGAACTGAAGTTCAAGGTTAATTACTGTTAACCAATGACAAGCAATTAGATATAAAATAATGGGAAAATAAAAAAAAAGTAAATAAATAAAATTTTCTAAAGTAATTTTTTTTCTAAAGTAATTTTTTTTCCAAAGTATTTTTTTTTGTCTAAAGTAATTTCATTTTATTTGGAGTTGTGGAAAAAGAATTGATTCCCAACGTACGTACCTATTACAGATAAAAACGTTTACAGACAAACAGATAACGTTGATGTTATGGAAAAGAGTAACATTGGAATTTTGTGTGGAACAGCAAATATTTACTGTAATTATGTTAAACGCTATGTAAAGTGTTGGGTAACAAACAGCGTAACAGAGCGTTTTACATAATCACAAATGATTTAATTTTGATGTTAGTTGTGTTGTGTAATAGATTTGTATAATTATGAGGGTTTGAAGGTGTAACATTTTTGCACTTCAACGATAAATAGTTGGGTTTTGTTTTGTGTTATAGAATATTTGACAGCAAACTTGAAGTGGTGGTGTCTTTAGTCCACTTAATATGTGACTGCGGCAAAGGTTTTTAAGATTTAAATAGCAATCGAATCTGTTTGAGTTTTTAATGGAGAAGAAATTACGCGAAGCAGGTCACGTCTCTTCAAACCAAAAAATTGAAATTGAAAAAGTCCAAATTCAACAGTTTTGTATTTTTATTTATTTTTTTTTCCAATAATAATTTTATAACTGCTGATTTTGATTTGATTTTATTGCACACTCTCTCATTTGGCTTTGCTTTTAATAAACCCCTAAGAGTTGGGTTTTTCAGTGTAATTGCTTTGCAAGAGCACAAAATAATATAGGAAAGAGTCTGTTATGTATCTGTGAGATACTTTTGCTCACACAATCTATAAAAATGTTTGATAACTGCTGACGCTGTTGCTCCGGCTCTCACCGCAAAAACAATACAAACACAAACGCAAAATAATGAACTCAACAACTCAACAACTCAACAAAATTCCTATCAAAGTAGAAAAAAATGATTTTAATATTACGTAAATTCTTTTCTGTTTCCAAACATTTCAGATTTGAAATTCACAACTGAAGTCGTCGTCGTCGTCGTTTAACAGTCGAACTTTAAAATTGGATGGAGCGGTACGTGTCAACTGACTGCGGCGCATAAACAGCACCACCAGCAATAAATTGTGTATCAACAAAGAAAATTAAATTAATTCAAGTGATTTGATAATGATAATGAAAAAATTTTTTTTGAATTTATTTAAAAGAGAATTAAGTTTTTAATGTAAAAAAAAATAAAATAAAATTTTTTTTTTACAAAATAATTAAATTTAGCACAATTGAAGGAAGCGTGATTAACGCTAATTTTAAATTTCATTTGAAAAGTGTCGCGTGCGAGCCATAAAAATAGCCGAAAGTGAAAAATATGTGAAAAAACGCGCCGTCACAAGAAGCAGCAGAACGAAAAAGAAAATTGCTTTACAAAAAAGAAAATAAATTTATTTCAAAAAAAAATTTATTAACAAAAAAATAAATTTGTGTAAAAAAAATTTAAATTTCTTTAAAAAAAAAATCAAATATATTTAAAAAAGCAACAAATTTAGCTAAAAAAAAAATTTGAAGTGAAAAATCGTGAAAAATTAGCTAAGAAAAATTCACACACAAAAAATAAAAAAATTAATTTGTTTATAATCATGTGTATTTATTGTATATAAAAAAGAAATCAAATATATTAGAAGATTTATTGTTTTATGAAAGAGTGCGAAAAATAAATAAATTTTAAAAACGTGTAAGGATATATAATGTTAAAAAGTGCTACCGAACGATTTCAAATCAAAAAGAAAAGAAAACGCAACCAACAGAAAAATAAAATATTAATTAATAAAACTTATTTAAATAAAAAAACACCAAACACAACAGCAATAACAGCAACAAAAGTTTCAGCATTGTTAACCTCAGCAACAGCAACAACGGCAACATTAACAATAGGAAAAAATCAACAACAGAGGCAGCAACAAACAAAGCAAAACGTTGCTACCGTGCAAATTGCCGCAAATCTTGAGGAAAAACAAATTCTTAATAAATTTCAATATAAAAATTATTTCTCACTGAGTTCGTTGCTGCCTACGACAATTTTGGGTGAGGACTGTGATTGCATCACAGACGATTGTTGCGTTTGTGACTGCGATTTGAAGTGTGAGTGTCGTTTTGATTGTGAGTGTGACGACTTACCCAAAGCTAAAAAAACCGAAAAGAACAATAACTGCAACAGCAACAGCAACAGCAACAACAAAAACAATAGCAGCGGCGGCAGCAATTGCTGTTTACGTGACCAACAGCACGTTACTAATTCGATTGCTGCTGCAGCTAAAAGTATAATGCCACTATCACAGGGCTTTAACGCCAAGGGTGTGCTAGCCACCAAACGTGCACACAAGACAACCAAAGTCTATAATAATCGTGATGAAGCGAAACGTAAACCCAGCGAGAATTTATGGTACGACAATCACAGTAGAAGCAGCAACAACAACAACAACAACAGTAGCAACAGCAACAATAATTTATATGCATATGTCATACCACAAAAGCGTATGATAAATCAGTTGCAGCAACAATTATACAATAATGGCAACAATTTGAAAAGTCAAAGCAATGCAGAGTTTTCCTTTCTAATAGCTGAGTCCTTAGCAAGTTTTGGACAATTACAGGAAGCTTTTGATATATATGCCTGCATAGCTAGAGAGCAGTGTGTGCCCTTGCAGCGATTGAATAAGTTGGCAAATTGTCTTATAGTGTATATGCGTAGGTTAAGTTATAAGCAAAATGAAAATATAGCACTAACAGTGAATAGTAAATTTCAAACCAACAATTTAAGAAATGAAAATGATTTTGATTATGCTCTAATAACAAATTCAAAGTTAAAATATAACAGACAACAACAACAACAACGTACTTGGTCACATTCTTACGTCAATAATAGTAGTAGTACCGATTCCACAAACCCCACGGGACATATGCTAGGTATGAATTTAAGTTTACATGCACCTACACGAGAACTACGCGTACCAAGTCCTGAAATGTCCGATGATTATGATCCACTCTTATGCCCACTATGTCGTGACATCTTACGCTGTCCAGTTACCACGAATTGCGGGCACACATTTTGTCGTCAGTGTTGTGAAACGATTACCATGTGTAATATATGCCAAATTAAATTTCCACGCACTAGTCTTGATGACTTTGTTCCAGATTCAAATGTTGTCAGACATTATAATAATGAACAATTGTTCAATATTAATTCCCCGCGCACATATTCAAGACCTACTGCAACAACAAGCACGACCAATAGTAGTAATATCACAACATTTTACAACACTAATTCTAATACGAATGTGTTAGGCAGTGTTGTAAGTGACAATAGCAACAATGCACTGTGTAGTGTTAGCACACGCAACGCGCTTAATTATTCTACAAGTGGAGCAACAACAACAGCAACAACAGCCATAACAACAATGCCACAAACAACAACAAGACTGTGTCTGAGTACTACAACGCCTATAACAGTAACAACAACAACTGTTGCTTCAACCACAGCAACAGCAACAACAACAATGGCATCGACCTCAGCTGCGTCAGCAACGACTACAATTGGCGGCAATAATAAGCACAGCGGTATAAGCAGCAGCACAGCGGCTGTTGATAGCTTGAAATTTATGCCGGACGTGCAAGTGCAACGTCTAGTCGAAAAGTGGTGGGGTGCCGATGTGCAAGCAAAAAAAATCAATGAAACAGCGGCGAGCTATATGCATTCCAATCGGCTCGATGAGGCGCTGAAGAACTGTAATGCGAGCTTAGAAAAATGTAAGTCATTTTATTATTTAATATATATAAAATAATTAATATGTTATAAAGTAAACTAAATTTTATGAAAGTATAAAACGAAAATATTAAATAATTATTAGTATAATAATATATTATTATATTTTATGCTTGTTCTTATAAAAATTTATAGTCTTTATAAGTTAAAAACATGCCATAAAACTTTACATAGGGACTTTCAAACAATTTTGTACTGTACACCAAATCCTCCTCTTCCTCCCACTAGTCGGAAAATGTAATAAAATTGTATCTCTGACGCACACGTACGCTGTTTCGCTTTTTATTGCTGTTGTCATGAAAGACGTTTGTCGTATATACATACGCACACAAACAAGAAGACATACAGACAGACGGACAGACAGTCAGTCAAGCAAATTCAGCAACAAGTAAAATTAACTTAACTTTTGTTAAGTTGTCCTTCATTGAAAAGCTTTTAAGGCAACAAAGTAAAGTGGCAAATTTTTTTTTTTGTTTGTTTGTTTTCCATAACTTTTTTTTCTTCTTTTCTTTTTGTATCTTTATGTTATTTTCTGTATTTTTATTTTTTTTTTCAAGCTCTTTGAACTTCAAAGCGCTTATATACTATGCGTTTGTTGTTGGTTTAACAAATTTTAATGCCAATGAATGCATACGTAGCACACGGGGGGAGAGAGTAGTTCTAAACGTTTTATAAGTTCAAATTATTGCTGTGTAATTGAAAATGACATTCTTTTTATTTATTCAAAGGTTTTCAATGTTTGCTTCAATCATTTGATATACCCGTGTCCTATTCTGTTATGTTCTTTCTGTACTGTTATGTTCTGTTCTGTACAAAGCTCTGCTGTATTTTTGCGCAGCAGAGCAGAAACTCTTAAGGACGCCATTAGCTATAACAAACGTACACACCTGTTTACACAGAAACACACACACACATTTTCATATATATGTATATCAGTCACCTGGTGGTTATGCCTGCTTGAGTGCTGTTATTTGGCAACTCATAACCTGTGCCGCCTAAGCTGAAGGCATTGGAGTCGTTCATTGCAGTAGCAAGCAAATTTCGTATAAAATTCAAATACTTACAGTCCCCAAATGGGTCAAGGACTTCAGTGTTGTTTGGTGGTGTTATTTTATGTTTTGTTGCATGTTGTATGGGTTTTTGTGGCTTTATCGTAAATACTGAAAAAAATAAAATATTTCGAAAATAAGTCTTTTAAATTTATACTTATTGTATGGTCCAATGGTTAGTGTCAAAACATTTTCAAAACCCAAAAAAAAAAAAATAGCACAAAAATATTTAATGCTTGTTTTTATAAACAAATATAAATAAAATTTAGTTCCAGTTTCTTTCTAAGTTTATTTATTACTTTAAATAAAGTTTTTTTTATAGTATCATTTTTAAAAACTTGTAAAAACTATTAAAATCAAAACAGATTTTTTCCGAACAAAATTATGTGTTGGATATAAATCGGGTAGTAATAAGGCCTATTTATTTTATGTGGTTACCTACGTCAACATCACGGTATTCTCAACACACGTATCAAGATAGTTAAATGTTTGAATATAATTTCCCCGTTTTAACGGAGTGAGGTTTTTTAAAACTTTAGATGGACTTAGGTTCCTGTTGAATTAAAGCAACTTAATTCAACAGGATTAAGGCTTTTCACCCATATTGAGTGAAAGCATATTGCCAATTCTCTTTTTGCGTTACTTGTAGTATTAACCATTGCTACCACGAATTTTTTCCTATGGCGCTAACCCAGTGTTTAGCATAACTGAAGTTGTGAGCAATTGGATCTCGCATTACCGGATTTCATCTGTGGTAGGATGTGGTTAGCCTATTGCGCTAAAATAATAAAAATATTCTGTGCTTGATCGGAACCTCAAACTGTTGTAGAAGTGCCACTGTTAACATTATATTGAGAAATCGTATCAAGTCCGATCGCCCCATTTCTCTTATTTAATCCAATGGACTCGATTAATATCGCAAATACCTTTTCATAATTTAAGTTGAATTGCTTAAATCGTTTTCTTCCCTTTGTTTGTCTGTTTATGCCTCTGTCTTCTTATCTGTCACTTTGTATTCTGTCTTTTAGTTTAAATGTTGATGATATTCTAACAAAAGTTTGTTTCGGAACTTTTTCTATATATGGGTAGGTAAAGTATATTACGTGTGAATGTAAATGCTATTATGCAGACCTCATATAATTCTTTAAATTCTGATTGATTGAAATTTTAAAAACAAGTAGTATAATATTAAAGTCTAGATAAAATGTGTAGGCATCACTGTTAAATGATAATAATATACAAGTTTAATATATTTCATAACTTTATGATATGTATATAAATATTTTGCCAGTTTATGAATATTTTTCTCTGATTTTAGTTTGTGATTATCTGTACAAAAATTTTCCATTTGATTTGCCCTTTCTAATTGATTAGAGACGATAACTAACGTTTTCGCTTGTGCAATATACTATAGTTGTTGTCAACATACTGCTTTAGAGGTTTCAGTAAAAGAGTTGTTATTTAGTTGCATAGTTTCTAGCAATAAATGCACCAATTGTCGTTTAACATTATTACACGACAAATCTGTAAAATCAATTATGCTACAAATTTAATAACATTGTATCTAACTATGATATCATAAATTCCATCAGACTAAGACCATATGTATCTGTAAAAAATTTTAAGATTAATATCATTGGTATATAAATTAATAATGTATTCTTAAGCTGATAAGTCAGCATGAAAAGCAACTATGACATTTCATTAAGAAAAAAAAAATTCTCACACAATAAAAAAACTGTATAAAAAACCATAATTCTTTCAGTGCCAATAACAAAAACATTTCCTACAAGAGCACAACATTAATCATTTAAACTTCGAGATTATTTCTTAATCCCTGTTAAGTCACTAAAAGAAAAATCCGAGCGACAATCTGTCAGCATTATTCTGTTAAAGTCAACAACATAATCATTATGATGATTTGTTTTCATAAATAGTAAAATAGTTTTAATGTAGTTTTAATGCTTCGAGTTCGTCATCATTATTGTAGTTGTGATATTTTACATTATTTTATCAAGTTGAGATATTTTTTATCTTGCATGTGCTGGCTCGTCTGCCCGCTGCCCGCTGCCTTCTCTATTGTCATTTTGACATTTCAGTAACATTGCATAATCACTTAGTGTTTATACGAGTATCTACAAACTGCCAGTAACAAGAAAATAGTTATAAAATATTTATGACACGATTAAAAAAAAAATAAAAAGAATTATCGTGCAGATATTTTAAGTCCCTCTGAACGTTTGTGCACTATTTGAGCTCATATTTTCAACAGTTTTGACATTTGAGTTGATGGAAAATCAAATTGTGACGGAAAGAAAACCGTACGCTTAAGGCTTTCATATCTGATGTCACTGGCAGTGCGTCGTGAAAAGTGCGGTAGTCACAACTTAAATTTTATTTTTATTTTCATTTTTTATCAGCGTTTAATTTATATTCTCATGTTTTTTTTGTTTTCCGCTTTATTTTTGCTTTGATAAGTGCGGTAATTTAAGTATTTTAAACTAATAACAACAGCGGTCAAAATTGTTATAGTTTAAAAAAAAAAATTCATATAATAAAAATTATTACTTAATTATATTTATCAGCGAAACGTGATTGATACTTTCGATAATGTGTTATTGACTTAATAAAAATAGTCACAGTCATAAAAACCAAAATTACTTAAACATTACGCATGCCATTGATAAGATTTCACAGTGCGTAAGTTTTCTAAAAAACTATGAAATACAAATTAAGTTTGAATCTATTTTATTTTTAAGTAATTAAAAATCCCTTAAAATATATTTTCATATATATTACTTATTCCCTTCGCTTTGTCATATCCGTACAAACTATTAGGATAAGAACCCGAAAAGGTCTACTATTCTGTGGTGTTTCTTCGCAATGCAGTTTTATGTCATTCAAAACCATTCTCACTCCATTGTCCTTTGAATGGCATTTCTATAATGTTTATGACCTTCTCGCCATATGGTTTTCGTCTTATATCTTCATGTGGCTCCTGTCGCAATATGACTTGCGTCTCGTGTCATTACATGGCTCATTTCACAATATGTTTTCAGTTTCGTCATATTAAGTGAGGCGCTGCTTCTTTATATCCTTTAAAACTGTGCTCATTCGGGTTGCTTGTAGTGGACTTATATTATTGGCGGCTCATCTCACCATATAATTTCGTCTTGTCTCGCTATGAGGTTCATTTTACAAAAAGACCTTCGTTCTTCTTATTATGTGACCACGTAATCCTAATCGTTTTTTTTGTAACTCGTCAGTGATAGAAGTAACTTTCGTTGCATTTCTTAAATAAACGCAATTTTTAATCAAATTACTTTCGTCATTATTAATAGTGATTGGATACGGGTCTCTTTCAACAATGTAGTTTTCTTTAAAAACAGCGAACAGTAACGGGCATTGCTCCAAAAATGCAGTCAGTTCGGTATATATGTATACCGATTAGATGGGGATTTCTTTGATAAGGTAGCTTTTATTTAAGTAAGTTATCTTCATAGGTGGGTATGTCACACGGACAAAGACTCCTTCTTAAAACTGTAGTCAGTTCCTTAGTTATATATGTCGACCAAATATGAGCTGTAACTTTATTTAATCAAATTATCTTTGTAGTTATGCAGAAAAGATATGGGTTCCTTTTTAAAAGTACATTCAGAAATGAAAAATTCTTGAACATTTACTTTCGTACGGCATATCATTGATTAGACGAGGTCTATGCACTATAGATTCGGGGTCTTTTGACAAGTATCTGTTATGCCACATATGTGTATTACAAAAATTGCAAAATAAGATTAATTTAAATTTAATTTTTATCCGTTCATTAAAAATTTATTGTAATCATAGAAACAATGATATTATAGTTCGTAATAGAAGTATTCTTAAACTCCTTCGTGAATGTCACAGCGATTCAACTTTTGAATTACTTATATACA